GGATGGCGTAGTGGTTTAAGTGGTCGCCACGCCGCAACCTACTACGCTGAGTGTTGTGTGTCCGACCCCCGCTGGGACGACACTTTGTGTGATCCACAAATTGTTGTTCTGAGTCTGGGTGTTCTTTGTGTCCGTTTCATGTATGTTTGTAAAGTCCCCCGCGACACAGGATATATTCCTAATGCGGGAGTTGTCTTTTTAAAAATAAAGAAAGAAAGAATTATGTACATAAATCAGCAAATGGCTATTAATTGTCATTGTAGGAACCACTATCCCAATAAAAAAATATATCCCATTAAGTAATAGGGGTAATACCTACTAGGCAATTAAAAAAAAAACAAATGGAAGGAAAGTATTTTGCGACGCGTAAACAGCAGTTCAAGAAGGTCAAGGTCGTATATTATACATGTAGCTCGAACCGTTGACGGGAAGTCTCAGGCCTCTGATATATATAATATTATATATCCAAAGCCTTTTTATTACCAAGGATATCATACTAAGTTTTCATTAAAAAAGAAAAATCTAAAAATTCATGATTAGATTTCTCCAGTTCAGTTCTCCATTAAATCTCTCAATTGAATTTCCTAGTTTCAGAACTGCGTAGGCCTATTTCTGTAATCCCCCAAATTACAAAGTTTACACTTGTAAAAAAAGGATAAACTTTACAACTGCCTAAAGATATCCATAATACAGAGACAATATGCTACAAACCAGGGATACCTAAACTATTTTGAGCAAGATACCCCTTTTCTAAAATGAACTGATACCTCAGACCCCTAGATAGCCAAATTACTGCACGCTTATCGACTTGTAGAGTTTTTTAAAAGTACAACATTGATACTTCGTTTTAAAATATTAGTCATTCTAATAACATTAATTCTAAAGTTGGTACACGTAACACCACTAATATAGTATCTTGAAAGTTTCAAATAAGAACTTCTGTTGATTAATAGGGTGAACCCTATTAATTAACAAACTGATTACACCTTATTAAACTGATTTTAGAGACTTTTTATCAAAGACTACGAATTTTTTTTGTCTGTATATGTATAAATCGCAGTGGTTTTGTAGTCACAAGTGTAGTTATATGATTTATAACAGGTGATTTTGATTTTATGCCAACCCTAGTGCATTGTCGGTACTCCGACAGTCCCTGGGCCCCCCGAGAATCAGGGGAAGGCAGGGGATATGCTTTGGGCTCTGGTGACCTCACTGACTCAGTGAAATGCAACGAAGGAATTGCTCTACATCGGTTTTATGTGAGGCCTTGGCATCATTTGTGCTTGCCCATTTGTGCCGAAACATATAGTTTATAGCAAGGATTCCCAAAGTCGTCCGAATTTGTTTCCAAGGGGTTGACATAAACGTAAACTGATTTTGGGGACCCCCTGAAATCAGTTTACGTTCACAGAAAACCGCTGTATTTAGAAAAACACGTACCGTCCGTCTACCTAATTTGGGACCAGACGCTCGTGTGTGAAATGTGAAAAAAAAAAAAGTAAACCGCCCTTAAAAAACTATCTAGTCTAAAATCCTATATGGAAAGATTCCAAATTATGAGTAACAAATTAAAAAATAAAATAAAAATTAAATAAGCCTTTATTGCTGTTAGATTTTAACTTATTTGACTAAACATTATTTGTTAAGAATAAAATATATATATAATAACAAGTAATAACAAGAGTAACAAATTAACAGCCACAAATACCTAGATTACTCATAACTCACAGAATTGCATCCATCCATTTCGCATTCCATCATTCTTTAATAAATCAGGGCAGATAAATGAACTTTGTTTTCGTATATATACTTCGAATATTATTATAATGTAAACTTGTAAGTACTACTCCACTCTTGTCCGTGTGGTGACGAATTAAGAATACATAGTGTCACCACCCCTATTTATAACGTGGGTGTCGTAAGAGCCGACTAAGGGAGCAAACTACGCAGAACAACAGCACTGCAGAGAGAAGGAAAACTTCAAACCCTATACCAACCCGTCTGGCCTGCGTGGTATAGTAGGTCAAAACCTCTTTTCTAAGGAGAGGCTTATGTCCAGCAGTAGACTATTAAAAGCTGTTAATGCGATGTGAAGTACTCTAGAAATTAAGACAGACTGTGTAACCATCTTGTGACGAGAACTGCGTCAATAAATCGTGACCCTGCGAAACCTGAACTCCTCATCCGAACACCTGAATTCGATCTATACACATACGTATACACACGGACCTCGCATCCCATACCGCACAAAGCAGCTAAAAATCTATATATTTGTCACTATTATTGATTACGCTATTTACTTCTTCGATCCAATAATTTTTCTTTATTTAAAAACCTTTCACTTTGAGTCAGTCCTTCTCCTTAAATTATGAACGTTATTTACTAGTCATTTTATGTACTGCACGTGTCATAAAAGGTATTTTCTATAACTGTTCAATTTACATCTAATTGCTCTTAACAAAACAACAGGCAACACTCAAACAATAATGTTCACAATGAATGTTCTACTTAATACAATTAAAACGCTTTCAAACGACATGTTTTATTGACTCAACAATAGACTCATAGAGACAATTAAACGATAAATTGTAATGGGAAATGCCAGTAATAATTATCTAATCGACATTAATAGCTTGGGTAAGTGTAACAGAATTTAACCATTTGTTGATCAAATATTACTCTTTAACCGGGCCTCAAACTGGAGGAAGTTCTCAAATTGACTAGTTTTTTTTTTGTAAAATCCAATTCCCGTAATTCTTTTGTTCATTGCATTTACATTTGTAATAATATTATAGATAAACTACAATAACATACAGAATAAATAATCATGAGTATCAGATAGTTTGATCTTTTATATTTCTGGATAGCTATCGAATCTTATTTTTTTTAACTCAGCAGTCAAGTTCACTACCCATTATATAGACAAACGATAACAACATTCAGCGTTGGATGGCACAAAACACACAGACACGAGAACCGCTTAATTGACGCAATCATTAGATATAACCCATAGGGTAATACATCAATAGATTTATTTGTGAAGAACTTTAACCATTAATCTACTCCTTAATTGACAGCAATGTCATTTAAAATGGCAATACTGCCTGCCTTGTGGGAACACTACGCATAGGCGACGAAGTGGAGGATTACTTTTATATTTAATAATTAAATAGGAGGCTAGTGTATTGCCGTCTAACGGGTATTTTGGGTATGAGATATTGAAATCTGGAGAAGGTATATTTTGAATGATAAGATAGAAGTAGTTAGGAACAGGCTTACATATACTCACATCTGCTTCGGATAATTTCTCGAAGTGATAGACGAATTAGACGCCTGTATTTACTAAATATGTATAATTTCAAACTCATCTATTTAATAGAGGGTATGCAGATTTAATGGGATTATTGGGAGTACGTTAAGATGAAGGTATGTAGATAAGAAGAGAAGTCAATGGTAGGAAAAGGGATATTGGTACTACGAATTATAATTATCGCTTCTAATTCGAGCCGTTTGATTCAAAAGTTGATACAAAAGCCATATGTTCAGCATCTTATGTTATAATATTTAGGTTCATTGTCCAACGTTCTAGCATAATAACATTGTATTAATTATCTCAGGTCTCAACAAAGCATTCACCACAAAGACGCTTGCGTAACGACGCGCACTATCATTACGCGGTCAAGCTGACTTCAGTCTGTTTCATCAAGCATTACGCATTATTGTTATCTTCACACGAGGTTTGCGGTGGGTCTATTTGTCAGAATCAAACCGACTAAAACCCCACGGTGTGTCATACTGACTTAATTAGGAGGGATCCGGGAACAGCTGTTGTCAAGACACCCGCTTCATTTGCATAGTACTGTATATGGAAATATACTATTTATAAACATTGCTTCATTAAAATGTTATAAAACGAAGGGCACTGCAGCGTTATAATTATTGGTATTTTATTATATTAATTAATATTGAAAAAATTGAAATTGAACTTGTGACGGAACTTATTTTCATATTTGGTTTATTGGTCTTTTGTTAAAATGCCACATTTTATTTCTAGTCCACTGTGCCCCTTCAACTGCACTTTAGAGAGCAACGGACAGGCGGACTGACGGCAGTGGCGGAATTTTGGGCGGATAAAATTTTGGGGTGTTCATACGTTGATACGAAGAAAAATTGGTCTTTTAAAAGTAAACATTATACTCGTAATATATAAATCTATGTATGTATATGTGTGTGTATGTATATATATTTTATATGTATTTATTTGGGTATATGTATATATTACTGTGTAATTAAAACCAAACGAGCCTAGCTAAAGCTAAGTGACTACTGCTGTCCAGGGTCACCTGCAATTTGAGAGACGACTGCATTGCCACTCTTCGATTGCGTTCCGCTAGAATTATGGGAGGGGGAGTTGGTTTCCCAGTAACCTCACTCACTCAGTATAAAGCAAAAACGGCGAGAGGGGTCTATGGACCCCCAGTTGGAACTAAGTTTCTTTTTGGTAAACTATTACCATAGTGTCGGAATAAATTCTTGTTACACATTTTTCATACTTAACTTCATTCTAATAAAGATACTACTTAATATCGCTTTTCTGTGAGGCCGTGATATCAGTACGGTCAAGCCGACTCATCAGTGCTGAAGCGCGGCTGATGATAGGTGAGATGTCAGATGTTACACATATTATAATGCAATGAGCCGTACGGCTTGCTCATTTTTTGTCTGGGGTGTTTAGGTCTTAGTGATTTAATAAACGTTTTCGGTGTTTGAACCAAAAATCAATAACATTTAACCGACTTATTCTATAGTACACAAATAATTATGATTTGATTGCCCAACTGACGACGTTGACTGATGATACTTGATCGTGTGTGCCCGTCAGTGACGAAAACTCACGTAGAGACCGCAGTCAAATACGTATCTTATCAGCGCGGGAGACGCCGCGTCCGAGTGGTTTAGAACGTTATACATTATGTGCAGGTGACAGTAAGCGCGCGATCATGGTTGAGACAGGCGTCGCCGGTAGCGCCCGCAGCGCCTCTGTCAAACCGAAAGATGCGAGTGACGCGCTCGAGGCTGCTCTTGCGCAGCTCGGCCCGTTCGGTTTCTATCAAGGATATGTACTGGTGATGTTGTGTATCCCTAACCTGTTCTCTGTTATGTATTCCCTCAACTATGTGTTTGTGGCCGACCAGGTTCCCTTTCGGTAAGTAAGGTGCCCTTGCAAAATTATATTGCAAATGCTTAAACGTTTTAACGCTTTAGTTAGGATCTAATTATTAAATTAGGATTTAAACTCTTCCATTAGAAAGAAAGTAAGCGAATTTATTCGTAGACGTACGAACATACGCTCACAATAACGGAAATAATTAAGGAAACTTACTAGGCTTAAGTGAAAATACATTTTTATGTGCCAGTCGAATAGGACCTGGTTCAGTGTCCGCTTAACAGATGTCAAGCACTGGTTTTCCACCAGAACTTTTAGTGAATACTACCACTAACTAATATCAAATTATCTTATTTAACAGTGTTTAAAAAAATTAAAGAATTACAATGTAAACAACTCTCATAACTTACAAATTAATGTTGTTTAAATTAATTGGATGTGTAATGCGTATTTATAAAATGGACTCGAGTATTTCCATTACAACTGCGCTGTGTGGTACCATCAGATAAATTGATATGTTGACTCAACTCATTAATTGATACAAGGATCCTATACATTGCAATACTACTCTAAAATATATATATTTCACATCTGTTTTTGCTTTAACAACATATGCTCTGGAGTGATACCAACATATGACAAACTTAAGTGAAAAAATCTTCATAAAATCCCCACAGTATCTCTCTGTATCTAATCTTAGAGTTTTCCCAAAATTGTCAGTTGCAAAGTTTCTTAGAACGACAGAGAAATTCCTAAATATTTTACTACTGCATCCATTAATAACGTGAGTGTTTTGAAAAATTACCAAGAATATAGGGGCGTGGATTAATTACTCACGGAATTAATTTACGCCCCCATAAAACTATTGGTTTAAAAAACCACGCTGCCGATACTTGTGACAACTAATAAACTTTTATATAAGTATTTGCTTGTGTATAAAATGACGTGTGTTGTGTTGTGTAGTGTACATCTTAGTGATTGGTGCTATAACCTATATGCGCCTACCACTCACTGCCACTGCCACTGGGAGAGAATGCCTTGGGAATTAAGTCCGCCGTTGTACAAATGTGCATAAAATTATAAATAAACTATATACAGGGCTACTGGTCACCCTAAAAGTCACAAGTCAACCAAGATTCTTTAGGGGGTTGTAATTCACCAGGGACTTCCTTTCTAGGGTATACCTGGTGCGGTTTTAGTCGGTTCGAGTACGACATGCCACCGATATCCGGTGGTATCCGAGGAGATTTCCGCACGAAAAAAAAAAAGGGTCTTGTAATTGCCATCATTTCTGATAGATTTCACTATGAAATACTATATCCCAAATATAACTATTTTCAAGATATTGGACTTTTAAGATTTTTATACAAAATCCCAAAATTTTGGCTAATACATTTTTTTTTAGAACTTATATCCTCTTTTTTTACTGTTTTATGTCATTGATATATTGTTTTATAATTTCCATTAGCAAAATTGTAATTAACTTAACAAACTGGGCCGAAGTAGATGGTTAATAATTCAACTTTCTCTCGCCTGAAGCGCTGGAATGGTTTTCATCTTATCTTCAGGGACGCCAGCAGTCCGTTCGTGTCGACGATCTCTCCTCGAGCTGGTGTGATGTCGGCTCTGGTGTTCCTCAAGGCGGTATACTTTCTCCTTTATTGTTCTCTGTGTTTATTAATCTCTTATCTCTTGAACTTCGTAACGCGTATCATCTGTATGCTGACGACCTGCAACTGTATGCTCAAGCTAATGTTGATGACATACCAATAGCTATTGACGAGATCAACATAGATCTCAAAACCATCAAAAACTGGTCTGAAAGGTTTGGGTTATCGGTCAACCCGACAAAGTGTCAGGCAATAATAATTGGCAGTCAGCGTTCGATTAACAGAGTCAATCTTGAGACGCTCCCCAAAATAATTTTTAATGGTATCACTATACCTGTTTGTCGATCGGTGAAAGACCTAGGCTTACAACTCGACTGCGCCCTGAACTGGCGCGATCAAGTCACATACGTATGCCAGAGGGTTACCGGCATTCTTAGAACATTATATCGCCTGAAAAATTTTCTTCCCGTGAAAACTAAGACAGCGCTCGTGCAATCTCTTATCTTCCCTTTAATCGACTACGGTGACGTGTGCTATTATGACCTGAATGTAGATCTTCTCAACAAGCTAGATCGTCTCATCAATAACTGCATTCGATTCATCTTTAATCTTCGTAAGTATGACCATATCTCCGATTTTCGTTCCCAACTAAGATGGTTACCTATTCGTCAACGCAGGAAAATGCGCGCTCTCACAACTATGTACACTATCCTCAATTCCCCTTCCCCTCCTACTTATTTAACAACACAATTTCAATTGAAATGCAACAACCACAACAGAAACCTTCGTTCGGCCAACAATCTTCTTCTACTCTGTCCTTCTCACACCACTGGGTTTGTCGGCTCTTCGTTCTTTGTATAGGCTGTCCTCCTATGGAATGCGCTTCCTCACGAATGCAGGAAGTCAGGAACCGGTCAGGTACGAATCGAACTCGTGCGCCGAGGGTTCCGTACCTACCCAGATTTTACGTAGATTTTCGCGAAAATTTGTAAGTACCAAAATGTATCTTAATTTCGTGATTCTAGGTCAACGGGAACTATCATATAGGTTTTCGACCTAGTTTTAGGCACGAGTTCGATTCGTACCTGACCGGTTTTTCATTACTTTTTTAGCTTTTGGCGTATGTTACTTACGAAAAATCTACAGAAATCCCTTGTCAATACAAAAATTTTGATATACTTTATCCTCTTATGTACGGATTAAGTGGGCTTGGTTTTGTACGTGCTTGTAACGTTGTGTAAAAGATAAATTGACACGTGAAATATTATTTTATTACAAGCGTCCCGTCCATTATCTTGCAATCACTAACGTCATTTAGAGATTTTATGTAATGCTTTAATATGTAAGTTCACTTAACAAAACTACCGGTAGATATATTTTATACTTACATATACATAAAAAATTATCACGTTCTACTAAATATAAATTATGGGAATAATTATGAGTTAGTTAAAATGGCGGATTGGAGAATCATGCTTTAAGGGTCGCCTGAGTAACCGTCGTCCTTAGACACCTATAACTCAACAAAACACTAGCGCGTTGCAGCCCTTTGCGTTCTATAATCTCTGCCTACTCTGGACAGAAATAAGGTGAGATTACTATATTGCAACTGATCCATTCTGTTAAAAAACCTTCACTCAGGAAGCAACTCCATCTGAACTTGTAGCAGTTCTGTTCTGTATTGGCGTATGGTCTGCTATTTCCAACTGTAACAAAACCACATGATTTGATACCAACATTTTTAAAAGTAACTTTACAAATGAAAGAATATTTTTATAAAAAAAATATTTTCTGAAATTTAAAAAAGAAACACATTTGATTACAACATGTGCATTAACTTTTTAATAAATAATAAGAAACAAATAAATATTTGCGTAAAAATGGCTTTTCCATTTTTTATCAGTGTTGTGTGTGTGCATGATGATAGATGATTGTTCATCAGTACAACACTATCTCATGTTCCTCGGAAGACATAGACGTTTTCTCAAATAAACAGGAGAAATATAAATATCTAATCCGCAAACAGTTCACTGGTATGTACGTGTTTTACTTCTGAGCACTCAATTTGTAATTTAGTTTTTAAGTGTTTGGTTTTTGATTTTGAATTCTTCTCTTGTATAGGTATGCCTCCGACAGATTTTTGTGTTGCTGTCACTTTTTATGTTTGTGTATTTGGGAATAAAAAATAAATAATAAAAGGGGGAATGTTACAATAAATGTTAATATAAAACTAATCTTGTTTCCTAACAAACAAAGAAAAAAATGATGTGTTCGCCTGTTATTAAGAAAGCACACTAACTCGAACTTTGTAAACCTAATATCATTATAGCATGTAAGGTGTATTCCTTGTCGGTGATCCGAAATAAATAAATGATTTTATTACCAGCATAGCAAGTTCCTTTGTTTCTTAGAAATATTACCGACTCAAGATTATTAACATAGAACATGAATATTCATCCATTATTATTGCATACCTAATAGTATTTACCGCTATGTAATGACAGCGAATTGATAGACAATAGCAGGGTTCCGCATTAAGCGATGGCATTGCAAACACCAGACATCATACATAAATATGTATATTATCACATTATTTCTGTCCAGAGTAGGCAGAGATTATAGAACGCAAAGGGCTGCAACGCACTAGTGTTTTGTTGAGTTATAGGGGTCTAAGGACGACGGTTACTGTTTGCCTTCGTATATATTTTTTTTCTTACTATAAACCCATTACTTTGAGATTTTGTTTTACACTATAGGGTAACTGACTGTATCTATATTAATATTATAAAGTTGAAGAGTTTGTTTGTTTGTTTGGTTGAAGCGCTAATCTCATTAACTACTGGTTTCAATTGAAAAATTGTTTAGTGTTAGAAAGCTGATTTTCGAGGATGGCTATAGGCTATATAACATCACGTTACGACTAGTAGGTACCCAAATCAATGAAGAATGTTGCAAAAACAGGCAAAAATTATTCCCTATTAATTTATTTAGTCAGTTAGTCATAAATCAATAAAAATGACAGCTTTATTGTAAACGAATATCACAAAACATCTCGGCAAATATTTTTATTCTAGCTTTTTATAACTATTGCGAATTTAAATCAAATAAACATTGAAATATATCCTGTAACTGAGTGGTCTAAAATAGTGACATTATAAGTTGCTATTTAGTAAAAACAAATATACAAAATTTTGACAGACAGAAAACGTTTTGGCAGATGATAAAAGTAACTAGATTGACTAAGTTGCCAAATACCCTACGCTCGAGACTTACTCCATAAAATAAATACTTCGAAATTTCGAAGGAATTATAAAAAGTTGTGAATAATGGCGATCGGGCGTTTTCTTTTATGATACACCGATAATTAAACGGCTAATATTTGCTAAGGTACTATTCAAGACTCTCTCAGTATTTTAGAATCAGAAATAT